ATTCCGTCGGCCTAGGCACGTCTTAGAGTAACAACGAAATTACCCACGCCGACGCGCCTTCGACTACTCCCACAAAGGCCCCAAAAACATCAACACTACACAGGTAGCAGTAGCAAACTTGCACACTAACTTAGCATTAGGCAGACATCGCACCCGTATGATAAGAGTGCGATGGCCCGGTTTACACACGACACGCTATACCAGGTACAGGTACGGACCTGGGCGTTTTCGCCCACCCCTCATGAGAACAGCTAACTAGAGCCGAGATCTGAGTCTCAGGGATTCTCTCTAGTTGAGCCGACCCTCTCAGGTTCAAGTGGTCTAGAGGCTCCACACGTAGGGGAGATTACCCCCGTGGGACGATGCCATCCGCCTGGAATACCTCTAGAGGCACTTAGTAATTTTTAGCTTGAGGTCCCCTTAGGATCTCACCGTCCCCAAACCCGGTGACGCTGTAAAGGTCATCTGCGACCAACCAAAAAAAACTTTGACGATCGCAGGCTCAATGCGTTAACCACCGAGCTCCTTAATACTAGACTATAATTCATGGCAGCCGTGAACCCGAATATACTTTACCCATTTTTATTTTTTTATAGCGAGGTAGGCAAATGACAATTTTACATAAACAAGATATATGATGTCGTCTAACTTCTACATATTTTTATATTTTAAGCATTTACTGCCAGATATTAAATCTAAAGAAAATTTTACTAGAAAAAAATACTCTAACTTTTTATTATTTTGATGTCGTACCATCTGCCTTATTAATATCAGACAAGAAAGAAAGTAACCACTAAACATTTCTCATTGGTTCGTTTCTAAACAATAGAGTCGACGTGACTGGCCTAAAAAGTGCTCAACGCATTTTTTATTGGTGTTCATTATTTAAACTTAATAAGAGGCGACCAATCATCGGGGTAACGTGACTTGCAAACTAAACGTAACACGTGTAAGTCGGTACTTAAGACTTTTTCCTTTTTCGTAGTAAAGAAAAAGCTTTTTTCATAATTATCGCAAACAATGACTGAGTAAAACATAACTTGGATTCTACTAAAGCTATGCAAGTACTGCAAATGCCGTTTTCCTGATTAAAGGAGATGTTTCATTTTAGGTTAGGTAGGTAAGTTCTTAAAAGAAAATGGTATAAAATAGTAAGAATTCACAGAAAAATTATAACAAAAAATAATTATAAATTATAATTAGTTTCTTTACCTAATTGATTCGTTTAAGGATGCAGCGATTCGCATTGTATGTTACCGATGTCTATTATAAGTCTGCGGTAGTATTGTAATAGAAACATAGCACGTTCACAAACAAAACACAAAATAACACTGAGAAATGTGTATAAAAAGCATATGAAAATTAAATCATATTTAAAACGTCTGAACATAGTATAGCTCAAACTATTATAGGGTAACATTTTTTTAATTACATATCAGGTAGAAGTGTACTTAAAATATGGTTCAGTACTGTGCTATTATTGCCATTCTGATAGGCTGATATCTTGTCTGCCGACGAGTATGTTTACCTCGCACAATTAATAGCCCCACTTGCTAAATCTTTTTTTCAGAAGAGGTCAATCGACGAATCCAACTCGGCTGGGCAGCGTTCGGGATGCTCCGCAGCATATACCGTAGTGTCTCAATATCTACCGCAGTGACTCAATACGATAGTCTCATCTACCGCAGTGTCTCAATACGATAGTCTTTACAGCCTGCGCTGCGTTAACCGGGAGCACGGTGTGGACGTCCGTCCCAGTCCGTGCTCCGTCGCGGTCAAATTCAACCCGTGGCGGTATTTAAAATGGTCATTATTTAAATATTAACGCAAAGTGATAATATTTTTGTTTGAATTAAACTAGTTTATAGTGTGGTGAGAAAGAAATTGACTTCTTATAAAACTTCAAATACCGGGGACACCCCATAAGTGGGAGTACACTTTCTTTGGAAAACGCTCAACTTTGTATATTTAAAATTTTCTGTACCGCAAAATGAAGTACCATTTGCTAATGAAATACGTTATTGATTTCCCTTTTTTGTATATCCTGTTTATGATTTAGCCCAAGTCTCTTACAAATGTGAAACGACTCTTATAACATAAGCGACTACATAACTTTTTACAGGTTCGAAGCATTATTTTTATATATTTAGCCATAATGAACTGAGATTAAAAACATATAAGGCAAATTATAAAAAATAGGTACTTACAAAATTCTTGGTTATATACGATTGATTAAATAAAACAAGTTTAAACGGGTTAGATGCACTGATTCCTACAAAGGATGCGCAACGTCAATAAATAAATAAAATCAGTGCATGTAACCCGTTGAAACTTGTTTTATTTAATGGGTGATGTGCGTGAAAACCTAAGAAACAAATACGATTAATTATAAAAATTCAGTATTAAGTATATAAATTATGTTAGCGCAATCACTCCTTCTTCCAATTCTCGACTACGCCGATGTCTGCTATCCTGATGCAAATGAAGAGCTACTCAATAAATTAGAACGACTCCAAAATTTAGCCATACGATTTATATTTGGTCTGCGGAAGTATGATCATGTGTCAGCTTATCGCTCTCTACTTCAATGGCTCCCTATTCGTCTTCGCCGAGATTTGCATATACTTGTATTCTTATTCAAGATTCTCAAAGATCCAAACTCCCCAGTATACCTGCGTTCCCGATTTAAGATTCTTCCCCCTCCTTCACGCTCTAGGCGACCTTGCATTACTAAGACGCTTGAGCTTCCTAAAAGTAATACCATCTCCTATTTGAATTCCTTTTCTTTTAGGGCTGCACAGCTGTGGAATAAACTTCCGTCCAATATTCAGGAGTGTCCGACCATCTTCTCGTTTAAGTCTAAAGTTAAAGATCATTTTCTCAAACAGAAATCTCAAACTTAATGAATCATTCTCACGAAGTATCTTGTTTCTTATTAGTATTTATTTATCAGGTTTATATGTATGTTATGTATATTTGGATAGGTATTGTATTTATCTATGTATATTTATGCAAGTTTATTTATGTAGGTATATGTATCTGTATATGGAATGTGTATCGTATAAATATATATATAACTATTATTTATTAAGTCTATTTCCTATAATAGTAGTAATAAATTATTTTTAGTTTCATTTTTATTGCACTTTCTTTTTCCCGCTAAGTTGTGAATCTCCGACACCACCTAGGTTGGCTGGAAGAGATCTCTTTTAGAGATAAGCCCACCTTTGCTTACTATGTATTTTACTATATGTTTTAACTATATGATGCAATAAAGAGTATAATATTATCAGTAGGAAATTACATAGTCTGTTATTTCTAATTTCAATAGCTTTTTCTTTACTTTTACCAAAGAAATAAAAGATATGGACAGATAAACATTACTTTCCATACTGAGAAAACTGAAACACGATGCAGAAACTATAACTGGATATTTTGACGTCTTATTTTTAGAAAGAATGAAATAATAGGAATGTGGTAACATGACCCTTACTTAAACCTGAGTAGAGTCATGTAAATCAACCGGAGACAAGAGAAAGGTCTTTAGTATATTGTATACTGAAAGCAAGAAAATTTACTACTAATACATTAATATTTTTGAGTTAAGATGCATGATATTTTAAACTAAAATTAGCAGCAGTGGGCTTAATTCTTACATTTCAGTTTTAATTTTTAATTTTAAGGTAGCCAATAAATATTATAATCCTTTTTATGCTTAATAGAAGTCACACTGTGATTAAATTTATTTACTTAAAGTCTAGAAAATCATGATTTCTCAGATCCAGTATTAGTTTTATTCACTAGCGGCCGACTGCGACTTCGTCCGTGTTATCTTTAGTTTTTTGAGAATCATACAGGAACCTGACATTTTTCCGGACTAAAAGGTATCCTATGTCTCAATCCAGATTATAAACTATATGCATACCAAATTTCATCTAAATCCGTTCTGTAACTTTTGCGTGATTGAGTAACAAACATTTAAACATACAATCTTTCACATTTATAATATTAGAAGGATTGGTGGGTATTTGTTCAGAGATAGTAAGCGTTTTGTGAACCTAACCCCACTGCCAGAGTTACATAGAAATAATATTGTCTGCTTCCAAAATCTTTCTCATCCAGGATTCTTTTTTTTAATTTACTACTCTGTGGTCTTAAAACAAGCACCAAACACTTTGAAGTTAACGTTTATTTTTTTATTACTGTAATTAAAGTCCAAAGAATATCTCTCTCTCCTATTAATTTAAGAGCAATGCTCTTCAGTGCAGTCAATGGATCTCCCGTCAACTCCTTTCGTCCTCCGCCAGCTCTTTGACCCCCCTGTACGATTCGACGCGAGGCCAACCTTTTCCTTAATTTGATTAGTGTAGACTATCCTCGGTCTTCTCCTTCCTCTCTTTCTTACCACTTTTCCCTCAATGATGTTCTTTTATAAATTCTTCGTGTCGCACAAGGTGATCGAACATCCTTCCCCTTCTGTTCTCCAGTGTGTCGAATAAAGCAATCTGTTCATCCACAATGTTCAATACCCTTTTATTTGTCACTTTCTCGATCCAACTAATCCTTTCCATCCTTTGCCACCAACACATCTCAAATACTTCCAATATTTCCCTATCCTTTTGTGTCAAAGTCCACGTTTCGCATTCATATAAGGGGATAGGATATATCATAATATATATATATATATATATCAGTATCTAAAGGATATATCATTATAAATTTTGATGTATTTAAATTTAAATTTGATGATTTAATTTCTTTTTTAATACTGTGCCATATCGATTTCTCTAATTAAATATTAAAAAAATAAGGAAAATAAATAAAATTTTATCTATCATTGACCAAGAATCAAAAGATAAAATATATTTAAAATTGATATCTTACTTCAGATATCGCTTACAAAATTCCTACTGTTTCTGTAAACACAACAACTCAAACATGCGAGTTTTTAGCTTCTAATTTATTCACATAATTTTTTTATATATTTCATTTATTCTCACCATATGTAATACTAGTAGCACTCCGATGGCCAACGCTCGCCTCCGCATCTTAACTGTGGACAAAAATAAAAAAAACGTCACTTCTACGTTTCGAAGATAAGAAAGTTCAAATGTTGACTTACGACGTTATGCCACTTACTCCTAGCGGAGAAAGTAAATACATCAACAATGTGTTTGAATGTGGTAAAAAAATAAATACGATTATGTGTTGCCTACTTAAGAACACAGATACAATAGTGGTAGAGATTTTATTATCAAACAAATTGTCAAAGTTTGCAGTTCAAAGAAACTTTAGATCATTTATCTACATTATAATGTTCCTTATTTGAGCAAAGTCATGATAAAAAGAGATTGTGTATACATTCTTAGAATAACAATATATACAGATGTAGATTAAACCATTGCAACTCGTGGGTTGCGGCTAACGTGGTAAACGTCAAAGACGCTTTCACAGAAGAAAAGACGAAATGGATACACTGAAGGATGACATGATAAACTGAACTTTCGCGAAAATCCTAGGAATTTTGTCAAAACACGGATAATTAAACAATGGCGATAACATTGCTCAATCATGCTGCCAAATTTTTGTTTTCTAGCACTTCGCCGGCCTCTCGCCTCTCACTTCATGGTCACCACACTAACCTAACCTAGTGTGAATCCAAGAACCCAAGAATATGAAATTAATTAATTAATTTTGTGTTTTTTATTTTGTAAATTATTTATTTATGTAGATAAGTAGGTTAAGCTATATAGTTTTAAGTTTGTGTTTTATAATGTATTATCTTCGGTTAAATAAATAAATATATAAACCATGAAATTAATTATTATTGATTAAAATAAGAAAAAGATTCCTTTTACAGTTTCTCAGGCGACATGCGTTTTCGTAAAAATCTATATTTTTTCGGTAAGATTGAGAAATATCATCGTCTTATTATATCAGCGTTTTTGCAAAATCCCTAAAATTTTGGCGAAAATTCGATTTATCAAGTCATCCTACGACAGATATACCACTAGCAGGACAATTCCGCGAACTAAAAATATTTCCAAGTTTGATGGCAAAATTTTTATATTTAGATTTAAAGTTACGAGATATATTATTTATGAAATCGAAAATGAGATTGCAAACATGCAACAACAGAATCCACGTGCAGGGTCGCATCACAGCTACAATTACAAAAGGACATGCTATTACTTGGGCTAATAATAAGTTAGTTTTTAAATCATTATCATGCATGATAATTTATATAGAAAAGACTGTCCAAGATAGTGTCATACGAAAACAAAAAAAAAAATGAAAGCACCATTTAGTAAAAAAATTGTCATCATTTTTTATGTAATATTATATTTTCACAGCGTAAAAAGGCAAATATATTATTCAATATCTTAACGACTAGAGAAACATCGTTTTATTTATTTTTTATATTTCATAACAATCCTAACTAGTATAGCTAAAGTGAGTTTGCTTGTTTCTCAATCACAAATAAAACTGCCGGATGAATTGGGGTAAAATTTAACACACATATAATTATAGTTTATTACCTATATTAAAACATAGGATACTTGGTATCTCGAATAAAATTTTAATTCCTGACAGATTCCTGAAAAATTAAGTGAACGTTGTCGAAGTCGGGGGTGACCGCTAGTAAAAATATAATTTCCTTCCTGTTCACTTCAATAGCCCAGCCTCCGTATAAAAATATAATATGTGTTCACATTAATGTAAACATTCGGCCCTAGTTTAAGCATTACGTATAATAAATGCAGTATCGAATGCAGTTCACCCTACCGGTTTTAATACAGGCTGATGCTTTAATATCCCCTCAATAAATATAATAGCATAAACGTTTGTACCTACATAAAAGAAGAAAAAAGTTTTACAATAAAACAGTTGACAAAAGAAAAAACAAAATCAGACCATTCTCGGTAACAAACAAAGAGCAGAACAATCGTCCATACTCATTATCATGTATCAAAATGCCACTATCTCGGTACTCTCCCATAATGAACCCACTTTAGTGTATAAAGTCCTAGTTTCCATAAAATTGGGGTCGGATTCCAGTGTAGTATTGTCGCTATGTCCCACGGCGGCAATAAGTATTGCGCACTTAACCGTAAATTAACTGGATTAAAGACTAATTTGGAATGACTAGCTTTTTATCGTGCTGAAGATGAAAATAAAAGCACTAGTTATAATAACTGAGAAGAGTTAAGTTATTAGGTTCTCAATAGCGATAGAGAGAGGACTATAAATTATTTATTAATCAGGGATTATACCACACTTGTCTTGCGTTCTTTATCATGTAATAATCCGCACTGGGCTCGCCTGATGGGTCGTTACTTGTGGTCCGTTCCTTCTATGGATTATAGTATGTAGTATGGATTATAGTATGAGAAAGGGTTGGACTTTACACTTATCTATCTTATCAACGTTTTAATTATATCCGATTATTATACTATTCAGATGATTAAGAACGATATAAGTGTTGTAAAATGTGGTAGTATATAGTCGTTGTCAAACCAATATAGCAAATATTGGTCTAAGGCCACAAATATCGTTCTTATTGTAACAATAGTTTCCATTGAAGCGGCTTCTACTGTACTGAAAACAATATACGATGCTAGCGAAAACTACGATGCCAATTATAACATTTAAAATACGCGGCATAGGTAATTGCTACAACCAAGAATTATAGTCAACCCGCTCTGATAAGTTCGAAAGAGAGTCAACTTCATCGTGCATCGTCATGGCAATTTATTCTTAACTTGAGTCAGCCAAAGAATTATTGTTGAATTCAAATTTTCTTTTATTGGGTAGTTTTGGACCACGGACCTTGAGTTGAGTAGATGACGCATGTGCTTCTACTTGTATGAAAACCGAGAGCGTCATATCTTGAGAATCATTAAAAGGTGGCGGAAAAGCATGGACCCCGGCCACCCGTTTCAGTTCTATCGTTTTTACAGCTTAATTTGGCACGATAGGCATGATGACGGGCTAAAGTAAACGAAATTCTATTTAGTCCAAAAAATTTGATGATCAAAAATAATGGACACGTATTTTTTTGGGCAATCAACCAAAAAATGACAAAGATAAAGCGTGTCAAAGTTTGGGAGTAGGGGCTCGTGACGTCACTTTTAAGTGAAAATTGTACCAAAACGTGACACCATGCGACTTTTCAAATCAATATATCTCTGCAATGTTTATATAATGTGAAGAAAAAAATTAGTCATCATCCCTATTAGCCTCTTTTGCCTTCCAGTACCGAAAACGGTGGCGCGGAAAAATAAACCTATAAGATCTTTGGTCACCCTTTTGACATTATTTTGCACTTGAAGTACATACAGTAACGGTATCGATTTCTATCTATTTTTGTGTCCTAGACACTGTGATTTGATTTTTCCGCATAAGATGTAGGAATTAAAAGGTAGCTTCTGCTAATCACTTCTGTACTTTGGAACAAATTCAATAATTTTGTTATAGAGTTTACGATACGATTAGAGATCATTTTATAAGTCAAAAATTTAACATCATCATTTTCCACACATTGGCATATTTACGACTATGTTGTAATAAATATGTAATCTTTTATAATACATGTTTCTCGTAGAAAGTAACAGGCCATTGAACGTGTAATAATATTACCTTAATGACATTTATCTAATCGAATTTTACTTATGGTCCTAAAGCCCTTCATAATTACCTAAATGGTGTAACGTACCTTAATATGGTTTCGACTCATGGTTTCGATTATCATAGGTTCCATTTCGCACATTTTATCATATAACATCATCGATATTCATCAGGCATCATCATATATTTTATCATTTATTCCTGGAAACACATAATTTCAAAAATATCACACACTATTCATCATTTTGTAAATACGTATAATAATTTCTTCTGTACTGAAAATCACTATTCCAGAGTGCTGGACACTTACCGGCATTTCTCTTTATTCTGTTATTTACTTGTTTTCACTAATTATGCTTTGATTTTATCTATTTTTAATTTATTTATTTTATTGACATTTTATGACAACCTAATGTTTTTTATCCGTTGCCATGGCTACCCATGACACGGATACTCTCTCCAACTACGTCTATGACTATTCAACCTCCACAGACCACTTACTTTGATTCTTTTTGGCTCGATTCGAACCGTGTCTAAATTCAAATGGTTCCGGACCTATAAAAGGCCGAGCCTCCCTGATCATTCATTCAATTCTACGGCAAAAGTTGCCTACTCAACTTTTGAAAGCTCGCTACCGAGCTCTAAATTAATAAAAGGCCTTGTCCCGGGGCCGACTGCCCCGGGACTCAAGAAAGACCTCAAAGCTTTTTAGCACCTATTGGCTCTTTAAAACAACTTCCTAACTCCAATACTATACTACTATACACGTTCTCGCAACCTCATCGGTGGGACTGCGCCTGGACTCCAGCTTCTTCGGCCAGCCTCCAGCTGCTTCAGCCCGCCTTCTACCGACTCCTGCCGTTTCTTCAACGCCTGCCTCTGGCCGATATACGCCGGCCAAACTACCAGCAGCGCCGCCAGCAACCACCAGGGGAGGCCAAGAACTAAGACGGCTGCAAAGGAGCGCTTCTGCCTCCAAGGAGCGCCGTCCATCTACCTGTAGCACGACCTACCGTTCAAGCCGCCCCTGAAGATCGCCGACGACCCACGCCCACTTCACAACCCACACTACACACACATTCCATTTTTTTTTTTAATAATCTGTAAATACTACTTTATCTTGTAAATATATATTCCTATACTGTTCTTTTGATTTTTCCTTCCTTCCTATCTAGTTTTATTTTGTTGCTACACAACAATGGTTCGAAAAATATATGGACACTCGATTATAATAATATCATGTAGGTGGCAGAGGGTCAATTTTTGTACCAATATATTTCTGATTAAGTACCTGTATCCCAAAATGTTTAGTTAGGCATTAACGCATATTAATTATTGAGTATCAAATTTAGTTTCCGAAACGATTTCTCTGTAATTGACATAAAAAATATAACAACGAATCTCATAATTCATAATTCATTTATT